TGACAGTTTGAAACATAAATACATTTGGTCAGCTTTGAGATGGCAAGGAGTAGATAATACCTATATTGAGATACTCAGAAACATTTATAGCATGAGCAAAAGCCGCATAAAACTGGAATCGAAAGGAGACTATTTCCCATTAATAGAGGCGTCAGACAAGGCGACCCACTGTCCCCCAAACTGTTTACGGCTGTGCTGGAGGATATCTTCAAAAGACTAGACTGGGATGAATATGGCCTCAACATCAATGGCAGTCTTTTAAATCATTTGAGGTTTGCTGACGATATTATCGTGCTGGAAGAAGACCCAAGTAAACTACAAGCAATGGTACAAACTCTAGCCAACAGAAGCAAAGAAGCAGGTCTCGAAATGAACACAATCAAAACAAAACTGATGACCAACTCTACAAAAGTCAACATAGAATTAGATGGAAAAAGACTTGAATATGTGCAAGAGTATATGTACTTGGGTCAAGTAATTGCCCCTAGTGACCAAACAACTAAGGAAATTAACAAAAGGATTGCTAGTGATTGGAAAAAATACTGGTCTCTGAGAGAAATAATGAAAAGTAAAGAGCTAAGCATCTCTATCAAGAAGAAAACATTTAACACCTGTATTCTCCCCTGCATCACTTATGGTTGTGAGACGTGGTCCCTCAACCAAATCCACCGGGAGAAACTTGCGAAATGTCAACGAGCAATGGAGAGGAGTATGTTGGGAATAAAACTCAAGGATAGAATTAACAACAAGGAAATAAGAAATAAAACCAAGGTTGCTGACATTTTGACCCGAATCGACCATCTGAAATGGGGCTGGACAGGTCACATTATTCGTTGCAAGACAAATAAATGGAGCAAGCAGGTAACCCTATGGTACCCAAGAGATGGCGTCATAAAACAGGGCCGCCCAATCAGAAGATGGGAAGACGATATCCGCCTAACCTTGGGACCATACTGGACAAGGGTAGCAGCAGACAGAACCCAATGGAAGCAGTTGGAGGAGGCCTATGCCAAAAGGCACACCGAACTGAGGGACTTACTTTAACTAGTATAGGAACTCAAACACAAATATTATATAACCCCAAAGTTCGGAAATAAATGGCTATATTATTATTATTATATTATTATTATAAGCTTTTCAACAATGTATAAATTAATAACAATAAAAAATGTTTTCTACTTGTAAAAAATATTATTTTTGTTACAACGCCGTATAATATTTCAAGTAAAATTAAGTGTATTAATATTTATTTCTAGTAAAAACTTTGAGTTTACTTCATTCAGGTTACTTTCCCTAATCATACCACACAAAATATTTCTTATTTCTTTATCAGTCTGTAAAATTTTACTTCTGGACATTTGACATACTTGTCAGGACAGAATAACACTTGCAATACCAGATATATTGCACCTTCGATACTGCTGATTGTTACGTAAGCTTTTTTGGTGTTTTTCTTAGTCATCTCTTAATCTCTAACAAAACCCACAGGATGATGAGGTGATGGATTTTCTTATGACCATAAATGGTCATTTGGTTTATGACAAGTGGTTTCAAAATGTGAGAATTGGGGATATGGCTAAGAAATTGAGATATGGCTATACTTGTTAAAGACACCACAGATCATGACCATAAAAGGGCTAAGCTTTCTATTGACTTCCGTCGAGTTGGGGGAGGATATTTTTTTTACAGAAAGGTTACATTAATATAAGCACACACGTAAAGTTTCAACATGCGAAAAAGCGTACTTTTTGAGAAAAAAATTATTGAAAATCAATTATTTTTGCAATATTTATGTCAATCCCTATCTAAGATTATATGATATTTTTTTTACAGAATGGTTATACTATTGTAAACACACACGCAAAATGTCAACATGCGGAAACACGTACTTTTTGAGAAAAAATTATTGAAAATCAATTATTTTTATAATATTTTCGTCAATCCTTACCACAGATTACATCGAATTCTCGCCATTGAACGTTCGTTTTCCGTACGGTTAAGTTGTCATACGTTCGGTAGCATTTTATTGTACATTTTACGTAAATAATTATATTTTGTACTCATTTATATAAATAGTCTTCATGCATACACATATATTTAACAGTTTATATTTAAATTACAGAATTATTATCATTATGAGCTATTAAAATTAAAATGTGTAGTGTTTACCGTTTTTTGCCGGCTTGTGGGACGTAACGTAAAACTGACGATTTCTAAGAATTAATTAAAGCAATATGTGTAATACGCTTTGTAAGCGACAGTAGGAGTCCATAAGAGTAGACAAAGGTTATATGAACTTTACAATGAAAGGTCATATAATCCTAGCGTCGAATTTAGGGAATATGTAAAAAAATATTCCAAAATATTTAAAAGAGTGTGCTCCATAGCCAAGTCATTGTATTTGAGCAACAAAATAAAGACGGCTTCTAATAAAATTAAAATGACGTGGAGTATAATTAATAGTGAAATTGGGAAGGTTAGCTCTTCGCAATTCGAACTATTAGTTAAGTTTTAACAATAAATTAATTGAATCAGATCAGGACGTTGCAATGGTTTTCGAGAAATATTTTACTGATATTCCTATCTTAACCACTAAGTCACTGAATTCTTCTCCTGCCGTCGCCGAATCATTACTTATTCAAAATGTAAATGTCTAAACAAAGAATTACACATTTCATAAAGTTTCATCAAAAGATATTGTAATATATTTTAAAACGATTAATATTCAGAAAACTGTAGTGGATTTGCGTTAAAATTATTGCGACTATTAGATACAATCGCACCTCAACTTGCTATTATTTTTAATACTAGTATCGAATCTGGTGTATTTCTCATACTAACCGACCTATTTCTATACTGCCAACACTTAGTAAAATTTTTGAAAAAATTATTCTTGATCAAATGTTAATTTTTTTTTAATGTAAATAATTTACTTCATAAAAATCAATTCGGTTTCACAAGGAGTCACTCAACAACTGATGCTGGTGTTGAGCTTATTAAATATATCTTTAATGCATGGGAGAATTCACAGGATGCTTTGGGTATATTCTGTGACCTATCCAAGGCCTTCGATTGTGTTCACCATGAAACATTAATCAGGAAACTTCAACACTACGGTGTAAGAAGTGATGCTCTTAAATTAATTATTTCATATTTAAGTGACAGAACGCAAAAAGTTGTAATTAATAGTAGGAGTTCTTCCAGGTCGACTGTACAAAAGGGCGTGCCTCAGGGCTCAATTCTCGGCCCCTTTCTGTTTCTTGTATATATTAATGACTTACATAGTAGGGGATAACCATGATATAGTATTATTTGCTGATGATACTTCATTAATTTTCAAATTAAAACGACAGTTATTAAATTACGACGAAGTAAATAATGCTATAGCTAAGGTAGTCAATTGGTTTAATGTTAATAATTTGCATTTAAATGGAACTAAAACTAAATGTATGAAATTCGTAACTCCTAATATCAAACATGTTAATACGAATGTAATTTTAAATGGGGAAGAACTGAGTCTTGTTGATACCACCAATTTTCTTGGAATCACACTAGACGCAAAGCTTCAATGGCTCCCCATATATCAAAACTAGCTAGCAGACTTAGTTCTGCAGCATATGCTGTAAAAAAGATTAGAACTCTGACCAGTGTTGAAACAGCAAGAATAGCTTACTTTAGTTATTTCCATAGCATTATGTCGTATGGTATTTTGCTATGGGGACACGCGACTGACATTGAAATTATATTTATTTTACAGAAGAGAGCCATTAGAGCAATATATAATTTAAAACCAAAAGAGTCACTGAGACAAAAATTTAAGGAAATTAATATATTAACTCTCGCCTCTCAATATATTTATGAAAATGTAATGTACATACACAAGAATAAACGTAGTTTTGCAAAAATAAGTGATATTCATTCTGTAAATACTAGGAACAGACACAAGCTAGTAGTACCAGTTACTCGACTCCACCGAGTCAGTAATTCATTCTTGGGGCGATGTATAAGCTTTTGCAACAAAATCCCAGAAAATATACAAAATTTGTCATACACGAAGTTCAAAAATTTTATTAAACTAAGTTTGTATAAAAAGGGTTATTATAATATTAAGGAATTTATGGATGATAGTAACCCCTGGGAAGGGTGATTGCTACCAAGCTATTTCTAATTTGTGTTGTGTTGTTAATTGTAAACACGATTATAAGCTATTATTTGAAAAAAAAAAAATAGTCCCGTTGGGTTTCTTGCTGGTTCTTCCCAGGACAGAGGTTTTTTTTTGCGAACCAGTGGTAAATGAAAAAATTGACTTTCAATAAGTATCGCTTAAAATCTACATTGAATAAAAAAGTTTCTGTTTCTGTATAAAATTTATGTGTATAAAACAGTACCCACCTATTAGGACAGAATAAAATAGGTTAGGTTCAACTTATGTCAAGGAACCGAATCAATAGACCCCTACTCCATGTGGTACGAGTCTGTCCTACCCCCCTAGTGTTTTTATAGAGCCGGTGGCGTGTAGGGAGATCAGCCTCCGCCTGCTGTAACAAATCGTAGGCATCGGATGACGAGGCTGGATGCCTGCGATTTGTTACGCAAAGGCATAGAGGCTGCTCTTCCCGCAGCGCCGGAGATGTTGCAGTCTCAAAATAGATACAGAAATCCCTCTGAATGAGTCGCTCTATTTATTTTTGGTGTTGGGGGTTCCCCCTTCCTTAGGGGGTACCCCTTCCCCCCCAAGAGGTCCCCATGGTTTTTTACACTTAATATTTATACATAAAAAATAAAATTTCCTCAGAATTAAAATTGAAAAAACTCAAAAAGGGGGGGGGGCACCACAACTTTTCCTTTTAAGGGGGAGTAGTACACCTCCCCCCCGCACTCCCCCCCACCCCCCCCTCCAATTCGACGGACGACAATGGAAAGTCGTACCCCACCCTACACTTAGCTTACTAGTAAGACGCTACTCAACAAACACAATACAAGTATTAATAGTAACTTACCCATTTGAGGATGTGATAAATAACTCTCGCAATCCACTAAAAACTGCCCTTGCTGAGTTGCTCCTAGTGCTAAGATTCGTTTTGTAAGTAATTCAATAACATAGGTACCAGTTTTGTTTTCAGGCACTGGATATTGCTGTAAGCTAAATGCAAACAATGTCACATTCGAAATTCCGAAAAATTTTAAGGTTAAGTTGTGTTCCATAAAGTTACTTACACCGTAACACCCATTTTATTCGTGTCGCGAAATTTCTGTTATAAAATAAACATTCACACTACAGACATCAAGTAACACAAATTTACATAACCGAAAATTTAAAAATGTTCATGTTTTATACCTTTTTAAAGAAAAGCATATAAAATTGATTTTACAAATTATTGACAGATAATGGGGAAAGTAGCTATAAATATAAATATAGTTTAAACAATTTCTAGAATAAAAATTATGAGGTATAACCTCTATTTCCAAACAAACAAAAATTCATAGATTACTGACTACAAAAATTAATTATCAACAAATTTGTTTTTTAATTAGAGGCAAAAGATTTTTGCTCATAGAGCCTAGTCTGACGTTAGTGCAATTTTTTATGGAATACCGTTCTAATCTCTGGGCTGAGGCCATTATGCCAATACCAGTTCCTAGCACTTTCACATAAGCTTACATAAATAACTTCCACTTGAGCGGCATTTAACGGAGAAAGTTCTTTTTAAGCTTAATTCACCTTTAGTTCAAAAAACCTCTGATTTGCTAACAAGATACTCAGGGAGACTATATATTTTTTTAAAGAACAGTTTACAATTTTATATTTTGTCGTATATTAAGTTATTTTTATAGAACACAGTTAGAAAACAGGCACACAGTACACTTGTTAGTAAAAATGTGTAGTGGCCCTTAAATACCTATTTTTTACTATATATCTACTCATACTTGACTCAGGAGACAAGTACAGGTTGTGTTAAACTCGTACCAACTACAATCCCATGGTGTTTCACTTCGCCGCATATTAGCAAGGCCACGAAACACATATCCTCGGCCTCACTAGTGCCGGCTTCTCCATGGCAAACCCTCCTTGGAAAAGGACTTCTTTTACCCCTTTTTCTTCTCAGGTAAGGCGCACCAGGAACACAAGGTGCGCTTCCTCCTTCCTTCCTCTGCAGGAATCACTATCTTTCCCAACCCCAGCGGAGAAACTGGTCTATTACTCCAACGCCTACCAAATTTTAGCCGGGGAGTGTAGACAGAGCGACATCTCGCAGTTTTAACACTTCTCTTCCCTCGTGACTCCACCTCAGCTACAGCCCATCAATACATATTTCAAGTGGGCGCACCGAGCCCACGTGGAGTAGTCTCTTCCAACCAGACATGTAAGTTCCTCTTAGTTCACCATGGATGACCAATCCACGGCTACTAAGCTGCCACGATAAGGAGGAAATCTATTTGAGAGTGGTCATCTACTTACACACCTACATCTTTGTTAGATTACGAATCAAGCCTGAGGACCAAGATAAAGTGACTTGTTATCTGTATACGATAGGGTTCTGGTTTTCTATACTCAACATACGAAACACAGCAGCATTCTGTGTGAGCGTGGTTATTCCCCGGTCGAGCCCACCCATTTGTACTGCTACAATAATAGTACCTATAAGCAGATCCAGCGTGTCTTTCACGTGGCCTTTATTACACACCGAGAGTGAGTTTACTACTTAGCTTACCTAATCTAAACAATATAAATACACGAATTACACAAATCATATTATGTGGGGTTATTATTAACCATCTAATAATTATTATATCATACCATAATTATAACCCTTTCTGAATATTTTTTTTTTTTGGATTTGACGAAGGAAATACTATAAGGTTGTAAAAGCATTTCCCTTTGAATTGATTACTAATCCTGTGGAGTAACTATCATTACTATAGTAGTTTGCGTCTGTTACTATTGTTTACTTACATAATTCATTTTTGACTACACATTTGTGTGTTTATGCGTATAGAGTTGAGTAATCCAAAAAATTGTTCGAATAGATTTCAGCTGCTGTTTCACCATCCTAACTACAATGCAATACAATACAAATAAATTATTACGGTAACTTAGCCTACTACTATAATTTTATTACCTAAAATATTTTAATTAATTGGAGATTCCTTTTAAATAATCATAATTATGATAGGGAACTCCTATATATTCCTTCAAGAAAACAGCCTACTACTTTTTAAGAAACCGGCAAACACCTGCAATCACCATTTATAGCAGATTTTCATGTTCATGGGTGATGGGTACCTCATACCTTCACTTCTATAAATATTTCAGTGTGATAAAGCGTGCGATGTTCTATTAAGCTGAAGAACTTAACAGTCAATGCCACAACCACACAACTATGCAAAAAATAAAACAAATTAAAATCTATTCTTCTGATTGGCTATTTTTATATATAACAAATTACCTATCTCGCAAAATAATTATGACGAATCACATTGAAGGAAACTTGAGTTGAGAAAAAAACTTAGTGATTTAATCAAACGTCAAAACAGTGCTGGACCAATGAAATCGCGACAAATAATTTCATGAGCAAATTGACAAGTACGGATACGGGGTCTCTTTACCCCACAATAGCTTACGAAATATTTATTTACGTATTTATAATCCAATTCATTTTGATCATACAAAACAACAAATTTAGTATTTCATCAGCTTGAGTTTTTAAAATACGTTGAATTTATCTACTTACGGTTTTTAACGAGGATTAAAATTAAATTAAAGTACCATTTACTACAAATTGCGATTGTTATTTTACAAGCTATTATCTAACGAACAGTGACGATTGTATGATTGAAAATGATACCAGATAACGTGACTCTGATTGTGAAGGCCCCGAATCAGCAAATAGAAGACCAAAACATTGAATGTCAGTCTTCTTGGACCATATTACAATTGAAGGGACATTTGTCGGAAGTTTACCCCAGTAAACCAGTAAGATTTTTTGTTTGTTTTTATTAGTATTTTGTTTTTAAATAATATTAATCACTGTTATCATTACGGTTTTTGTGTTTTCGCCATTTAAATGATTGTGATTGGTCTCACCCTACAGCTATGCACAAAACTCCGGTTGTAAATTGCGGCCTTATGAACACAAAATAAGATATTATTTATATGCTTACAAATTATTGATTTCTCACTCTCTCTCGGGTTATGTCTCCTTTCCCACATAGGATATTGAGCTAGGTACCCATCTCTTGTAGTATTTTGACCAAAGAAAATGCCTAAAAAAGTTGACTTAAAAAAAGTTGGTAAAAAGAGATTTTGATTTAATATATTGAATCACTTTTGACCAGAAATATTCAGTAAAAATAAAAGTGTTTGATGTTGTATCAATTTTTTATTGCCTATCGATTTAAGAACAATGTTAGCTAGCTAGCTGTTGGGAAAAATAATAACAAGTACGGTAGGTATTGGGGTGCAGTTGGGGTGGTCCTTGGGCCATCCCAAAGCTGCAAACATTTGGTTCATCTTGCCAAGCTTAGGAAAAAGTTATTTATCTTAAAATCGGGTTTGGCCAATAATAAAGTGCTTCCCACTGCAGATTTCCTCAAAACTGGATTTGGCAGGAATTGAAATTTCAATAGAAAATATGTACTTTTGAAATAGGGTGCTCCTTCCCCTCTCCTGTTTAAAAAAATACTAAAATGTTTCAAAATAACCCTCAATAATGAAATTTTCATAATAATTGAGGGTCATTTTGAAACATTTCAGTATTAAGGGGTTAATCAAAAGTCCTTCCAAATCAATTAAGTAGTTTCAGATAACTTATCAGTTGATTGATTATTATTACTGAGAGATAAGTAGATTTCCTGTGCTAGCTCTACCATTTGTATGTTATCTCCCTTAGTACCATTGTTGCAATATCCATACCTGATATTGTCCTTTATGCGTACTCCTGTATTGAACCGACACTTAAAGATCTGTCACATAAATTTCTTACATCTGTCACTGATAACACTTATATAATAAATAAATATAAATAACACCACCCCCCCCCCCCCCCCACCACAAAAAACCAACCACCTCATAAACAAAAAACCCATACCCCCCCCCCCCCCCCCCCCCCCCCCCCCCCAACATAAATTTTTTTACCCCTCCTCCCCCTTCCCTCCCTCCTCCCCCCCCACCCCCCCCCCCCCCCCCCCCCCCACCTCCCCCCCACTCCCTCCTCTCCTCTTCCTCTTCCCCCCCCCCCCCCTCCCACCCCACACCACAAAAAAAAGAACAAACAAAACACACCTAAAGGTATATATGACAAACCCCATAATAGCCTTGTGGCCTAGATATCACTATTCCACTTCACTATTCAGTATTCAAACCCCAGCCAGAGCCAATGTTAGTGTAGAAAAACAAATTGTTAGTTTTTGTAATAAATGAATAACTGCAGTAATCAGACACTTTCCAATCCTCTATAATCTGACATGCCTAATATGTAAGTACTTATGTATGTTAAATCTTTGTCAATGCATGATTAAGCAGATTACAATTTGCAGCTGTGTATATACTCAGTAATTCCACTAAATATGTGTATTGTGCTAGGTAGTTTAACTAATGACAAAATGGTTGTCATAATAACTTTTTATGACATATCTTTATACAAACAACACTAAATAGTATAGTGTAATCTTTAATCATTATAATCATTACAGTCTATTACATACTCAGTCCTCCCCTGATCATAGGCCTCTTCCAAGAAATGCCACATAGCATAGTCTTGAGCTACCTGCATCCATCTTCTTCTATCTCTTACCATGTCTTAATTCTACTTAAATGCATGCATTTTACTTAACGGTATGAGGCTACTACTTGAGATCCTTTTTCCCCCTATGGGTTGGTTGTTTGTTGTTGTTGACGACAGCGCCGCTCATCACCGCTCAGACCGGAGGTCGATAGTGCAGCCTCGTTGCCAACGAATGTGCAAGTGCCAGGAGATTGCCTTGTAGTCTGCGGTGAGTCGAGAAGAAGGCAAGTAATCTGCGAGAGTGCCGTGAAGCAGAGGCGAGCAGTAAGGCTCAGAGCCGTGCCGAACACTGTATAGCGCAGAGAGTAGCTTGAAGGAACAGGAAGCATTATTATTCCAGTGCTGCGATGAACCTTGTGAAGCTAGATGGCTTGCAGGATATGAAGACTGCAGACGATATCTGTTCGGGAGCGAATGGGTGGGGTATTCTATGACGTTGATGAAGCTTGAAGTTTCCGAAGGTTGTTTGGTTGCGTGTTCAGATCACGTCGGGGTCACCACTGTGGCCGTGAAGGAAAAGGGGAGATCTCCCGCCGGGCAAGGTGCTGTGCCCGGGGAGCGGCCGACACTC